TCAATTCTAGACTTTTGGAAGTTGCTTACAATTTACTTCCTGTTTACTTAGGTGATTTTATATCCTTCTGGAGCCTTTGATGGAGTTGAAGAATTTATAGTTATAGTTTTCCTTAGTTATGATAAAAGATAAAGTAAATATAAATATTGTAACTGTAGTTCTTGCTTGATACCTGTTTTGTGATATGTAGTTTTGCTATGTTAAAGTTAAAGCCTTCCTTTTTATTTAAACAGAAAAGGGGAAATGGTGTTGCTTTCATTGGTTAATAAAGGAAGTGCTTTGGGCCTACAGCAGAGCTGTAGAGGAACAGAACTAGGTGGGGAAAACAAAACGGAGGGCTGGGAAGAAGAAGGCAGAGTCAGGGAGAGATGCCATGGAGCTGCCAGAGTCAGACATGATGAATCTTTGCCAGTAAGCCACTGCCACGTGACAATATACAGATCAATAGAAAATGGGTTAAATCAATATAAGAGTAAGCCAATAAGAAGCTAGAGCTAATGGGCCAAGCAGTGTTTTAATTAATATAGTTTCTGTGTGGTTATTTTGGTTCTGGGTGGCCAGGATGAACAAGCAGCCTCCTCCTACACAACTTCCCCCCAGAATAATCTTATTCTAGACATAGAGGTCAGCATTTTTGCAGGCTTAACTACCAAGCCAGACACATCCTGCTCTCACAGCACTTATATCAGCAGGCAGCTACTTGTGGTTACAAAGTTAAAAAGTAGTAGACATGGGTACAATGCTATAAGGACAATACTCAAACCCAGACAATTATTTCATGTCTGCAAGGTGCGACTGATAAAGTAAAACTAGAAACTGCGCAAAGAATCACCAATATAATGAGAAAAAGAGCCTGCAAGATGCACAAATTTTGCAATTCCTACCCTATCCCATGGATGACCGGTCCTTGCCAAGTGAGTGTCCAATTCCACGGGTGTATTGTCCCAAGGAAACCCAGTGGACAGGTAGACATATGCCTATCTAAGACTAGGCTGTATGGCTCCCAACAAGCATCCAAGAGACCCCACCTCTAACCAACAGCCCAACCTAATAGGGTCTGGAAATTGCTCCATGTATGACTGTCAGACTGATTCCATTCCCTATAACTACCTTAGCCATCTCTCCTCCACCAGGGCCTAGCCTGTATGTCTGTTTTCTCTGTTTTTTGTATGACAATTTGTCTTAGAAACAAAAATCTTAAAAACAGAGCTTATGATAAGATTTTTAGAGACAATATTTTTAAGAAGGTATAGGAAAGCATGCAAATGAAAGTCTAAAGAAATAAGTGATTTAGGGTGATGAAAATGCTTCAGATTTCTTTCTCCATCCATGATTTGTTCTTGTGGTTAGTCTGCTCACCAGCAGGTTGCCAAATGGAGACACTTACCCCAGTAACACCTAAATCAACTTCTAAAACACCTGTCCCCTATGTTTGCTTTCTCTATAAGCAAACTAGAGATCACTGTCAACACTGGCCACAAACTTATGAAGGCTGCCCTTATTGGGCCTATAGGAGACATGATGCATACCCAGAAAGGCACTCTTCTTTTTTTTTTTCAGAATGGGGATTCTTTTATATTCTAATTAAGGACCTATGGCACCCCAGATGGGAGACAGGGATCATTAGTAAACTCTACTATGGTATTTATCACAGCTGCCCATCAGGCATGCTCAAAACACAGGGTGCACATCCCATTCTCTCAAGAAATGGTCCAACTCTCCTCAAAGGTCCTTACATCCCCAATATCACCCCTTTTAGATGATACTGATCCCATCTCCCTGTCATACCATCTCATTTCAGACCTTCACCTCTGTGTATCAGCTATTGAATAATGCCTTGCCTGACTGCTTTGAAGAATATTGGTTGTGTATCCTCCTTGGTCAGCCTTACAACCAATTGTGGCCTCACCCATTGTCTTATTAGATTCTCTCACCTTGCTTGTTATATTTTGTTATATATACATGTGTATGTGTGTGTGTTATATTTTGCTGAGCAAAATATTACTACTACTACTATGATGATGATGACCTCTCTCTCTCTCCTCTCTCTCTCTCTCTCTCTCTCTCTCTCTCTCGCTGGCTCTCTTATCACTGAATGCTTCAACTCTCAGGAACACACTTTATGAGCACCGTGAATTCCGCAGACCATAATAATATCATACCCCCTTAGTACTATCACCCACCCAGCCCCTATGTCTAAACATTCACAATGCCTCAATTTTTCTGTAACACTCAAGTATGCCACTGCCCACTCACTAGGTGCTGTGGGACTTGTGCCCTGGTGTTCCTTTTCTCAGAGCTATGAGTGGCACCCAGTGAAGAACCCTTGCCAATTCCCATCACTGGGTTTATAGAGACACAGCCTGAAAAACGAGCAATTCAGGTCATACCCTGAACCCAATTCAGGTTATACCTAGCAGCCCTGGGTATAACCTCTGGTGTCACCTTTGGAGCGTCAGGGCTGACTACCTCCCTAACTATTTACTATTGGCTGTCCTCACAGTTTATCCAGGATGTCCAACGGGTGGCTGAGATCATCCTCTCCCTCCAGGGACAAACAGACTTGCTGGCTGCCATACCACTACAAAATTGGTAAGGATTAGATTTACTAACAGCAGACAGAGATGGTCTTTGTCTTTTCTTCGTGGAGGAATGTTGCTTCTTTGTTAACCAATTAGTTATGGTAAAAAATAAGATCTGACAACTCCACATGGATCTTTGAAAATGTAGGAAACAGCTTGAACCCGATAGCCAATGGAGCACAGATAGTACAGTATGGAACTAGATGCTACCCTTCTTAACCCCTCTTCTCTTTTTTTTTTAATTATAAACTGATTGGCCTAGTAACTCAGGCTTCACATTAACTCCTATAACTTATATTATCCCATATTTCTTGTCTGTGTAAGCCACGTGGCTTGGTACCTTTTTTGATGAGGCAGTCACATCTTGCTTCCTCTGAGGCTGGGTCACAACTGCAGACTGAAAGTTCCCTCTTCCCAGAATTCTCATTGCCCCACCTCTACTTCCTGCCTGTCCACCCTGCCTATACTTCCTGCCTGGCTACTGACCAATCATCATTTGTTTAAAATACAAGTGACAGGGTACAGACCATTGTCCCACACCACCTCTCACCCTTTAAAAAAAAACTCTGAATCTTTGCTCAGCTTTATCCTGACCTTTTATTCATAATAACTTGTAAACAACATTCTAAACAAAGTAAAAAAACCATAGTCCATTTTCTGAAAATTTGGGCGTAGTTTTCCAGGCTACTTCCTGCTGATTGAAGGTGTTGACAATCTTATGGGGGACCTAAAGAAAATTTAGAATCATGATCAAGTCATGACTGAAGTATCCTGTGGGACTTGATGATCTCAGGTAGCAGTGTTGAATCTGTTCTGGATGTATAACTCAGACATCTGGGCAATCCGCTCCTATCTGAGATTTCTCAGGGGATTTTCCTGATTTTTCTTAACCTGGAATGAATCCACAGCCTCTCATTTCCTGTAGAAACAAAAGCAAAACCTCTTCTTTAAAGTAATAAACCTTTTGACTTCAGTTTTAAAGTAAGGTATTTTCAAAATACCTATCTTGGATTAATTCAGCAGCATTTATAAACAATTATCTTTTAGCAGCTGTCATTCCTTCCTCAGCATTCAAACAATTCAAAGAGAACATAGTAACATACATTATCCAGATTCTCTGTGTGTTTTCCATATTTATGTGGCTTTATTTTAAACTCTATTTCTTTTATTTTTATTTTTAATTTTTGGCTTTTTTTTTCTCTGTGTATCTTTGTCCTGGAACTCACTCTGTAGACCAAGCTGTCCTTGAACTCACAGAGTTCCACCTGCCTCTGCCTCCCAAGTGCTGGGAATGAAGGTGTGTAACACAACACCTTGAACTCACAGAGATCTGTCTGCCTCTGCCTCCCAAGTGTTGGGAATTAAAGGTGTTTGCCGCCACACCCAACTACTCTCTTTTTTATTTTTTATTTTAAGGACTTTATCCTTTTTTTCCAAGCCTACATATATTTTAAACACAATGTAAATCATTTAGAGGCTTTTCTATCTGAAAGTATCTTTACTGTATCCCTCTTTTTCTGACTACATGAGTCTTTAATTTGCTAAGCAATATGGCTAAGATTGAAGCTGTGGCTTTGATGGCTGGATCCAGCCCATTCCTTAGCTTTCTGAGATTCTAGCCTTATTGCAGAGGTACTGGCCAGATCCATGTTTATTGCCACAACTCTATGGCATTTCAAGGTTCCTACCACCACCAAAAAGCATGTTGTAGGTTCTTCATAAACACCATTTAAGTGTTTGGTGGCAGGGCCTCTTAAAAGAGCTAAAGCTGTTGACTGAGGTTTCTGTCCTACCCAGTTCCCACAGTCATTAAGTCCCAAAGAAATCACACAGATGTCTACATTAATTATAAACTGATTAGCCTAGTATCTCAGGCTTCTTATTAACTCTTAGCCCATAATTCTTGTCTGTGTTAGCCAAGTGGCTTGGTACCTTTTCCAGCGAGGCAGTCTCATCTTCCATCCTCTGCATCTCTCGTCTCCTTTTTGTAATCCTGCTAGCTGCACTCCATCTTGTAAACTTGTTGTCTAGATTCTATGACAACAGATTCAAAAGATTTCTAGCCAGTTACTATGACAGGATCACTGGTCCCTGGCTAAAGAGCCAGAGGTCTGCAGCACCCAGCTCCGTCCTGGTGATGAGGATCAGGATTGCCCCCAAGGACATGGATCCCCTCCATCAACAGGAAGTAGTCTAATGACAATGGCACCAACCCTCCATTGTTCATTAATAAACAAAAATGGGGGGTGGGGTAAAAAGGGTCAAGGAAAAACATCCTGACCCTGACTTGACCCCAGGACCAGAGCTTGAAATCCCACCAATCAAGAAAAATATATAGCTTAATAAAAACCATAAGAAGAAAGAAAGAAAGAAAGAAAGAAAGAAAGAAAGAAAGAAAGAAGAGAGGAGGGAAGGAGGGAAGGAGGGAAGGAAGGAAGGAAGGAAGGAAGGAAGGAAGGAAGGAAGGAAGGAAGGAAGGAAGGAAAACCAACTCTGAGCTTGCCCCAGAATCAGACTACAAAATTCCTCTGATCCCATATCACCCTGGGAAGCTCCATCCCACAAGACATCCTATATAAGCTCTGTACCCCGCTCAGTTTGCTGCTGTTTCTCACCCTAGAAGCAACCACCCTCCTGGATTTTTCCCTTTCTTTCCTGAGCAGTGTGACACTTTTCACTGGATAGAACCCAGCTTTAACAATTTATTTGTGCCAAAGTCAGAGCAGAGCGGGACTGTAATATTTTCCCTGGAGAAACTTTCCCCTAGGAAAGCAGAATTGTAACACTCCCGGGGGACCTGAACAGAGCTATAACACGTGCATTGGGAAAACCTTTCCCTGGAGCAGGGCTGTAAGCTGCTACACTTACAGTGACTCTGTGGTATTCCTTGGCTCCTGACTCCCAGGAGAGCTTTCCATTCAAGATGCAATGCTTACAATAAGCATTCGCATCTACCTAAACATAAACCAATCTCATAGAATGCACAGCACTTATGAATAGGTGATGATTGATTTACCTTTCCTCAAAGTCAGCCTGGTCTTTGAAGCACACCTGTCTTTTGATCCCTGGTAGCTGTGTGCACGAGCTGCAAGAATGACTGGGGTCCCCTGAATTGTGGGGTCCCAGTCTTCCTCCCTAGGCTGCCACTTATGCCTCACTCTGTTTCTTTCTGAAGCAGCACCCTGTTTGCTGTCCTGAAAAGACAACTGTATTTTCTGTCTGGTGCCAAACACCCAGAATTCTTTATCATGAGATTTGGCCACTTCCAAGGCCTGCATCTTCCTCCTGTTTAGAAGCTGGGATTTGGCTTCTGCCAGCAGATTCTGGTCCAATACCCTTGATGGTCCCTCCAGGAAAGTATGTTCCTGCAGGAATTGAGGTTGTGCTTCCCTTTCTTTGGAAGCTTTCATGTCTTCCAGTGTGTCTTGCCCTGATGGCTCCGGCTTCAGCTTTTTTCCAGGCTTCTCCTCTCTAACTGATGGAGAGAGCACTGCCTGTGTTGGACGTCTAGACTGGGGCTTGATCTTCTGGCCCTGCAAAAAGCTATTTTCTTCTAAAGGAGCAACGTGTTTGCCGCATCTGTAGGGTCCTCGTGGCTGTCTGAGTTCTATGTCCCCTCCTCCTTCCAGATGGTCCCTCCTCAGATCCTCTCGGTTCTGTAGCTGCTGACATTTCTTGGTTGGGTTTTTGTTGTTCACAACCACCTCTAGCTCCAGGAGCTGCCTGGCATCTTCTGGGTTTGGGGTTTTCTCCGTTTGCTTCCTGACTTTGCCAAGCAACGCCATTGTTCTCCTGTTCACCTGGGCCTCCCACGCTGTCACTGCCTCGGGACTGTTCTTCGGCAAACCCAAGTGTCCGACAAATGTCCGCCTGTGTCCCTGGCCTTCCACAGAGTCACCCCGCTGGAACCTTTTGGAGACTGTGTTCAGACAGCCTTTAGGGTCAGGGGAGTGGTCCTCACTAACAGAGCTTGTAAGCCGTGGAAGATGCTCTGGTTTCTTCTTGCCATGAGATAGCTCTTCTATGCTAAACTGTTTGTTGCCCAGACCTCTTCTATGTTCCGGGGCCTCCCAGAGGAGTTTAATCTCCCGGGGTGCCACATAAGTCCTAGGGGCAGGCCTCGGAATTTGTTCCACTGATCCTTCGTGGGTCCTGGTATATTGAAGTCTCCTGTTCTTCAGAAAGTGAGAGAGCGATTCTTGGGAACACATGTTCTCTCACCAGAACCTCGCTCTTCTTAGGTCCTACCCTGAGGTCAGGGGACCTCTCCTAGCTGCAGATTCTCTCTCTCTCTCTCTCTCTCTCGCTCGCTCGCTCGCTCGCTCGCTCTCGCTCTCGCTCTCGCTCTCACTCTCACTCACTCACTCACTCACTCACTAATACAATTCCAGTACAAATCACTACTCCGCACAGTTCCTCCAACCTCTGGTAACCACACTGTACTGATGCTGCCAGGGTGTTGAGGACTAAAGTACCCTCTTGTACATCACAGTCCAGAATGCTGGGGCTTATCTGTCTCTTTATGATGTAGTGGGCCTGGCTGGAGGGAAGATGGCTGGGCCCAGTATTAAGGAGTATTTCATTCTGCGGCCTCTGTCACTCCAGATGTTAAGGGTGACAACATCTAGGAAAACCACCCACAGATTGAAAGGCACAGGCACGTTATGAATGGGTGAAAGGTGACCTGTGACGGACAGTTGAGGAGCAGGAAGAGCGGCCTCTTGGGAGTTAGAGGGCTTGTGAGCTGACTTCCTGGGACTCGCCATGGATGCCAGCTCCTTCAGCCCTGAATAGCCCCTTGTCAAGGAATAAAACAACACTCACTCCAGAGAATCAAAAGGAGAGGTTTATTCTAGAAGCAAATATGAATGCCCATAGTCCAGAAGAATCAATTTTGGTTTCCCCAAATATCATTTTCCAACAAAGTAGCCATTTCATAATGTTTTTATAGTAATGGAACAAAGAAGACTAGAAGTCAAGATAGTTTTCAAACACACTGGTGGAAACAGCAGGTAGGCAGACTACGGCAAAGCAAGACGTCGCTGCTCTCAGCCTCAGAGGCGGTACGATGATGTTAGCTTTAGGATCGAAGGAAACCTGCTAAGTTAACACGAAGTGAAAATTCACTTGATAGTCACAAGGGTATTTTATCAGAAACAGGGCTGAATAAAGAATGGCTATTAAGAGGCAAAAGGTAGCCCCCAGAATAAACTAAAACTAGACTCCGGAGCTGCCACTCTCTAGCCTCTCCACTGAAAGGATAATAAAAGGTTAAAACTGAATATTGACAGAGGCAGAGGTGGGAAGTTACATTAGAAAGAAACTCCACGGTGACAAATGCCTCAATGATAAGACAGGAAAAGTTGATAACTTTTTTTCCTCATCTTGTAAACAATGTAGGCTATTTCCTGGAGATGACCACAAGCAACTTAGTAACCACACTAAAGCACTCTGTGAGAAGTCCATTGTAATAGCATATTCCCCTCTCTGAGAGCAATATACTGCTAGTATGTTAATTTTTGATCTTTAACCCATGTAAACATTTCAACATTAGAGCAGTCACGGTATGACTTGCATCCTGCCTTTTTCCGGTAATGGGTAAAGGCTCTTTGGTTTCACCAACAATGATCGTTGTTATTACCGGGGCGGGGGCATGCCCATTCATATTAGCTTTGTTTCTCTTAACCATTTCTGTTGTGCTAATTTGTCTCTTACTCTTTTAACAGTATTACTTTTAATTGGGCTTTTAGGACTTCAAATATAAGGACTGTATTTACTCATCCCCCTTCTCCCTCTAACTCCTCCCACTTCTCAAATTCACAGCCTCTAGCTCTTTAATTATGATTGTTATATACACATATGTGGCTGACTTCTTGGGGCTGGCTAACCTGTCAGTGGTCCTGTCCCTGGAGAAAAACTGTTCCTCCCTCTTTCAACAACCACTACTTGTCTGTAGCTCTTCACCAGGGCACAGGCGTGTGAGCTCTCCCCCACTCCACTCTGGCGTTATCCAATTGGTTATCGCTCTTTAGGCCTTGTTTGGGCAACCCCATTGTTGAGATTTCCTGGGTTCGACTTCCCTGTCTGATAGGACACTATCAAAGCAGATGTCCTGGCCCCATCCTCCGGCTCTAGGTCTTCCAGTCCCCTCTTCCACAATGGCTCTCTGAGCCTTAAGTGTAGGGGCTCCTCTTCCTTATAATCAGAAGAGATAGTCTTGCTAGTTAGCTTCAGCTGTCAACTTGACACAGCCTCAACTGGGGGATTGCCTCAATCAGATTAGCCTATGGGTGCATCTGTAGGGAATTCTCTCACTTGTTAATGGATGCAGGAGGGCCCAGCCCATATGTCTGCCACCCTAGGTCAGCAGGCCTGAGCTGTATGAGAAAATGAGCTGAGTGAGCCAGCAAGTATCTTTTCCCCCATTGCTGCAGGAGCTCCTTCTGCCCCTTCAGCCAATAGCCCTTAAGATACCAGCCCACTTGGGCATGGTCTCTTTTGCTTTAAAAAGCAGCGGTAGCCATGCGCTCACTTACTTGCTTCGGACTCCGCTTCTGACTACCAGACTCCTTTCCTGGTTGCACTGAGGGCAGTTGTGTAGAACAGTGATCTGTAAGTTTTCCCTTTAAATAAATAACCCTTTTATTAATCATAATTCTAAACTGCTGTGGGATTGTTTTGTGACTTAGGCCTTCATTTGGCTGTCCAACGTGATGGACTAAATTCACTTTAAAACCTGAGAGAGTTTAATTCTAGACATGGTGGACTCGGGAACCTGAGTGCACTGGGGAGATGGCTGTCTACCTACCTGTCAACCTGAGGACAGTTAAACACAGTGGCCAGCTGACAAGTGAAGATCAACGCCCCTGTGGTGGGCTGGTAGTGTCCTGCTCAGGGTAGCCCACCCTCAACTGCAGAGAACATGAAGGAAGCTGTCAGGTTCAAGGTGATAAATTGGAAAGAACTAGAATCCTCAAGAGTGAAGAGACAGGAGCTAAGGGTTTTCCCGGCTACTTTTTGTCCACATGACTTAATCTGAAGTCATCTGAGGTGAGAAACTCTCAACCAAGAAAATGCCTTCACAAAGTGCCTCCCTGGACAGGTGGCCCGAAGTTGTATGAAAAAGCAGGCTGAGCGAGCCATAGGAAGCAAGCCAGGAAGTAACATTCCTCCCTGTTCTCTGCATCACCTCCTGCCTCCAGGTTCCTGCCTTGAGTTCCAGCCCTTGCTTCCCTCAGTGATGGACGTTTTCAGATATAAGATGAAATAAACTCTTTTCCTCCTACATTGCTTTTGTCTGCGGTGTTTTAGCACAGCAATGGAAACCCCAGTGGAGACAGTACCCCCACAGATGCATACGATTTGTTGGGGTTTTTTTTTAGCTGTTTGGGAATTGTCTTAGCTTGGGTTTCAATTGCTGTAAAGAGACACCATGACCACAGCAACTCTTACAAAGGAAAACATTTAACTGGGTGGCTTACAGTTCAGAGGTTCAGTCCGTTATCATCACGGTGGGACACGGCGGTTTGCAGGCACACATGGTGCTGGAGAGGCACCTGAGAATTCTACATCTTTGATCCACAGGCAAGAGGAAGTGGTCTTGGACACTGGGTGTGGCTTGAGCATATATAAGACCTCAAAGCCCACCCACCCCCAGTTTCTTCCTACAACACAGCCATACCTATTGCAACAAAGAAGCACCTCCTAATAGTGCCACTCCCTATGAGCTTATAAGGCCAATTACATTCAAACTTATAGTTAGGTTTTTTTACTCTTTGCTCTTTCAGGACCTGTCACTCAGGTGTATTCTATATACCTCTTTCCTTCTTACTCCGTAGCTGGCTGTATGGCTGGGTGACTGATTCCTGGCATCCCCTCTCCGCCTTTTCTCAATCCTTTCTTCTTCTTCTATTTATTCTCTCTGCCTGGCAGCCCCACCCATCCATCTCCCGCCCAGTTATTGGTTGTTCAGCTCTATATTAGACCAATCAGGTGTTTTAGGTAGGCCAAGTAACACAGCTTCAGAGTTAAACAAATGCAACCTAAAAGAAGGCAACATGTCTTTGCATCAGTAAAGAAGTATTCCACAGCATAAATGAATGTAACACATCTCCAACTAATCTTCCACCACACAAACTCCCACAGGTATTAATGCTGGTGAGACATTTGTGCTTTCTAGTGTTCTGGAAATGTCAGAGGGAATCAAGTGGTTCAGGTGGAAAGCAGAAAACATGTGAATGAGGAATCTGGGTTTGTTGTTCAAATGCTCAGAAAACAGAACTGGGCCGAACAATCCCAGAATTGGGAATTAGAGCCAGTAAAATGAGGAGTTCAAGAGTTGCCTGCACTATATGAGACCCTGTTTAAAAAAAAAACCACACACACACAAACTGGCCACAGTTATTTATATTCATGGTTCCAGCGCAAATCTAAACCATCCTATAAGTATTTTGTTAAGTATTTTGTTTGTTTGAGTTTTTTGTGTTTTTTGTTTTGTTTTGTTTTAACCTTTGGGATTCCGCTTCTCTTTAGAAAGCAGTCGTTCTTCTGACTTGCGCATGGAATGCCTTAGAAAGGGTTTTAACACTCATAGATGGGGACGAGCCATGCACCAGCAAACGTTGTTCCTAGTTGTCCTGGGAGGACTCAGCTGGCAACTGCAGGCCTGGGGACAAAATAGGTAAGCACTCTACCGCACATGCGCGCACACACACACACTGGCTAAGAAGGTGGTGGGCCAATCAGATAGCAGTTTGGCCACAGACAGGGTCCACTTTGGTCCAATGAAGAAACATGATCTTGACAAGCTTAACTCAAACCAAGAGTTAGCGCGGCAACATTCTGAAGCCCCTCCCTCTTCTTCCTGCGGCGAGGGTCCGTTGCATATAATCCACAGAAAGAGTTCTTAGGTCTTCAATACATGCAGCATCTTCACTTTCTTCCCCATGGGCTCTAAATGAAATAACCTTACCAGAGAGATGTGAGCAGTTCTTTGATAACATCTGCCAGCAGATGGCAGCACTCAACCAATTATCGAAGCGGTGAAGCCAAACTCTGCTCCGGATTTTGAAGAACGTGGGATACCTACAACATAGCTTTCTGTGCCGTGGCCTCTGAACAAGCTGGGGAAAGGTTTGCCTCCGCCCTCACTATTCCTGCTGGGCACATTCCACTCATGGTCCTGTGCTGCGTAAAATTCAGAGGCCCCGACCTTAACGGTGTCATTTATTTATTCTTTTCATTGATCTCATTTAGCCCGGGCTGACCACAGATTGCTAAGGAGACTTAGTGTGGCTCAGAACTTCCG